TGTTCTGCGGGAAAAAGATGAGGCGTTCTGCTCCCGTAAAGATTTACAGCCTCGGAAACCCTGTACAGGGTCTTTATGAGTCGGAACCGACTCCATGGCACATAACAACAACAACAATGGTCCTGGTGTAGTGCTGCAGGATAAGCACTGAACTTCAAGTCGTTTTGAACTGCAAGGAAGGCTGTTCAAACTCACCAGCCACTCTTTGGAAACCCTATACAGGGTTGCTATGAGTTGTAACTGACTCGAGAGCACCCTAACGACAAAAATAACATAATAAGTAAGAAAATAAAGACTAAGGTGTAGATGAACTGATGAAGAAAAGAAAAAAAAAAGGAAGGTAGACCTTAGTACACATTTGGTTGGAAAACTAAAAGCAAAGCAAGTACCAAGGGAAAGATGTAGTATCACCTAACAGAATGTTACAGCATTGGAGAGCAATACAAAGAGAAGATAGATTTTGATTAGAATTTATTGAGTGTAAGGATGCCAAGAAGGCATCAGGTAGAGAAATTTACAGACCACTAGATTATGAGGCCTGGTGTGGCACTGTGGATAAAGCACTGGACTGCAAGTTTGGTTTGAACCATAAGGTGGTTCAAACTTACCAGCCGCTCCTTGGAAACCCTATACTGGGTTGCTATGAGTTGGAACCAACTCGACAGTATTTAACAACGGGGTATGACCCTAGGGGTGAACTAAGTGCCTTTGAGTTGGTTTCAATTCATAGTAACACAGTATAGTATTTCCAAGGAGTTTGAGCCATCAACCTTGCAATTAGCAAATCAGTACTTATCCTACAGAGCCATACCAGGACCCCAGGGGTGAAATAGAGATCCTTATTTAGGAATCATCTATATCAGTGATTCTCAACTAGGCTAATTTTATCCCACAGGTTACATTTAGTAAAGTTGGGAAGCATTTTTGGTTGCCTCAGTTAGGAGACTATTGCTAAGAAGAAGGTCAAGTTTTCTGTACTTCAGTGCATACACTAGCCCCATAGGAAAAATAATTTCCCAGCCCAAAATGTCAGTAGTCCCAAAGTTGAAAAATCCTAGTCTACATATATATCACAGTACACTGGATATATCTTGTCCCATCCATTCATTTAATTTATTCATGTTCAATTTATAGGAAATACAAATGCTATCTAGTATTCACTGAGTCTTATTCTGTTTCAGGCATGTCCTCACATTACATTGTTTGTTTTAATCATTAAAACTCTATGGTATAGTTATTATATTTGTCTTTATTTTATAGATGAAGATGCACTTAGAAGTTAAGATACCTGTCTAAAGCCACTTGGAAAAGTTAGAGGCCCAGATTTGCAACTAGACAGTCAATTCCCAGACCCACTATTCTGATCACTAAATTGGCGTATTGAGTGACTATAGGTATATTATCCTTTAGCCCTTAGGCAGACGAGAGAATTATACAGAGCAAAAAGATTTTTACCCCTGCAGTACAGTAAGTTTCTTGGTGTGGCTCTTCTAGCCCTAGTCTTTTTTAACTCCCATCAAATGACTTTTTCTGATGGGTCTGGGTCCAGAAAAGGTAGGTTAAGGTGCTGAAATGATTGTGTGATTCCATTGTGAGTGATTGTTAACGGGGCTAATTGTGATTGTAAAAACTTGAAAATTTAATGAGAGGACTGGTCAATTTTACCATATAAATCAGCCATCTCAGCAGTACAATGACGTGTCCCTCTACCATCAAGAAAGAAGAGCCACCCCCATGTAAACTATCATGTAATTCACAATAAAACATTACAAAAAGAAAGAAA